CCCCAAAACCCCAAAACCCCAAGCCCAGTTCGAATTCTAAAATCTAGATAATTGAATCAACAAGAGGAGCAATTTAATTAATATAATAATAAACTATTTCTAAAATGCACAATTTAAATAGAGTCTACCCCTAAGACAAGAATAACGTGATTCTAGGATCTCCTGATATCAAAGTTAAGTCTTTTAATCCTAGTTTTCAAAGAGGAAGAACTACTAATTTCATCAATGATAATAATTTACTTATGCCTGTCAAAACTCCTAGTTATGTACCTAGTACATTTAATAACTAAAACGACAAGAAGGAAAGCAGCCCTTTTGGATTCTTCAAAAGAATGCTTTCTAACCAATCAAGGAAGTCTAAAAATGGTGATGAGGTCATGTCCCCTGCATCAGCAGGTCATAAACCGAAGGGAATTTTAAAGAGAGCAACAACTGAAAGAAAGGGAGGCAAAAAAGAGGCTCGGAGAAGCAGCTTCCTAGGTATATTTCAGGGAGAATAAGAAGAATCCTTGGATTCTGAGTAAGTTTCTGCTTACAGAAGATATCAGTTTATCAAGCGAAGAGACACTAGAAAAGATGTAGAAAAATCTAAAGACCTTTTTAAAGTTCTAAAACTTGGAGCATTTCATGAGACTGAATTTTCGAATGAAAATATGGCCAAACTACATGTTTTAGATTTGATGAGGATCTCCAAGAAAAATTCACTAAGATCCTCAAAGTCAAAAAAATCTACAAAATCAAACAACAAGGGTCACAGGAATGGGAAGAGTAACTTTGGTATCCTCAGTGATTTGAAGTAGGAGCATTTACTAAAAGTCGACAGAGATAAATCTCCAGAGTTGCAAAAAATGCAAGATCTTGAGAGATCTAAAAATGATGTGACAATGGAATCTAACAAAAGAATAAGCTTAAGTACATCTTTACTTTCAAACAACCACAAGTAAAAAATCTTCAGAAGATAGAGTTTTGCATTCAGAGCAAAGAAATTTGGGAGTGGATTAGACAATAGTCTGTTAAGAAGAGAAACGCTAAAAATGCTACAGGATAAAGCAGATTTAAGTCCAATACCGTAATCAATCAGTGCTCAAAGTAAATAAAGTAAGAGTTAATGTTTAAATTGTTAAATTTTAATATAGCTGGCATAAAGCAAAGGATGATTAGATCAAGCACCATAAATGTTAAGCGAAAGAAAAAGGACCCCAATGAAAAGGAGATGACTATAGAGGAACTTAAAGCTTACATCTTGTCAGAGAAAATGAAACTGAAACAGGAAAAGACATTATTGAAAGCTTAGCAGACAATGTAGAAACAGAATTCAATGGTCATTGAAAAGAGAATTCTATGCTGTGTTTGCAAATGCCAAAGAGATGTTGACAATGATGAATCAGAGGATATCAGCAGTGATGATTGCGATGATAATGCAGCTCGATTCAAAATCATGTAGAATCATGAGAAAAATGAGCATCTTTAAATGCTTTGGAAAAAATCTCACATCAAGGCAAGAGCTGGTGCAAATGTTGTGAGGCTATTCAATGATCTTGCTAGAAAAATTTACTTGTTTGGAGTATCAAAAGGCCTAACATAGATTGAACTTGAAGAGAGAATTCCATAATATATTCTTATGCCTGGAGATCGATCTAAATAGATTTGGAATATGATAACAATACTCATGCTGTTATACACAGCTCTCTTTATGCCATATAAAGTGGCATTTTTAGACGATGACAGTGACTCAGGTTTATCTGGTACTCTTGACTGGGTAGTTGACAGTCTCTTTTTTACCGATATCATAATTACCTTTTTCTCTGCTTTTGAAGCTTCTGATGGGTCGATTGAATTCAGGTTGGCTTGAATTGCAAAATCCTACATTAAGTCTAATCTCATTCTAGATTTAATTGCTTGGTAATTCCTATTCATTTGTTTTACATTCTAATAGTTTTCCCTTCCAGGTATTTGCACAAGATAATTCATAAGGCTCAAGTTATCAAAAGCTTTTAAGACTGCTTCGTTTGCCTAGATTATTTAGAATGATAACTATCTTAAAAGTGCTTAAGCAAGTGAAGTTCTTAAGAGAAAACAGAACTTTTAACAAAATTATGAAGAAATTAAGAATGAATACTGCTATAGTCAGAATGATTCAAGGTATGGTTGCTTCAGTCGTTGTTACTCATTTATTTGCTTGCTTTTGGTTTTTAACATCTAAATTTGACGACTATGATCCTGACACATGGGTCTACAGAATGCACATAGTAGATGAGCCACCCTCAAATTAGTATCTATATTCTCTATATTGGTCAACTCAAACTGTAATTACTGTTGGATATGGAGATATCCCAGCAGTTTCCGTTAGTGAGATGATTCTATCATTATTTTGGATGGTATTTGGAGTAGGCTTTTACTCTTTCATTATTGGTAACTACTCCTCTATTATTTCGAGTAATATCCAGATTCAAGCATCTATTTAAATGAAGATTAAGAGTTTAGCTGAGTTAGCAAAGAAAGCTTCTATCCCTATAGAACTTTCCAAAAAGATCAAAAAGTTTATAGAAAACAATTTTGAAGCAATTTACAATTAAGAAGATGAGACACAGCTTATTAAAATGCTTCCACCCTCATTAAGAGACGAAGTTCTTTCAAATACATTCGGGGAAGTAATTGAAAAAGTACAATTTTTCAGAGAAATGAAGGATCCAGACTTCTTGTGGAAAATCCTTCCCCTCCTTAGACCTATTAAGCTAGAAAAAGGAGATATTTTATATTGGAGAGGTGATCATGCTGAGGATAGTAAGAAATTAAATCTTAAAATCGATATTAGTTTACTTTATTTTGAAAGGGAGCATTAAGCTATACACTGAAAGAGGATATCCCTACATTAAATATAATGAAGGAGACTTGTTTGGAGATTCTGACACTTTACTCAATGTATGTATTCAAATTTCTGAAAAAATTATAACAATTATTATAAGCTTCCAAGAGATGGAAAAGCAATTGCAATGACACACTTAAAATTAATGGTCCTAAAGATTGATTAAATGTTTGAAAAATCTTTTGAAAACTAAGAAAAAAACTTTATGGAAATGATATTTGAAGCAAGGAAGAAAAGAAATCTACATTTAAGACTAATCTAGGTTGCTAATAAAAAGGGCAAAAGAGAGCAGAAGAATAACTTGATTGCAAAGAAATCATCTATGACTAAAGATGGTAATCATGAAGGAGATCCCGCATTAGCGTAGTAGGCAGATGGAGAATAAAATGATATTTAAGAAAAGAAAAGTCTCTTCAGTAGTTTTAAGAAGAAAATTGTTACAGTAACCTCTCTCTTTAAGAAAGATTAGAATTCTCCTACAGATATATCCCAAAATGAAAAGAAAAGTGACTACTTAAGCATCCTTAGGAAAAAAGCAGACAAATCTCCAAATACAGCAGGCAATTCACCTGCTAACAAAGATAAAAAAAGAGAAATGAAATAGATTAATCAAGTTTCGTAGAAGGCTTCGTCATTGATGACTCTAGATTAGTTGAATCAAAATATTGTCTTGCCAATTCTGAAAAATCCTTCATCTAATGGGGATGAAACTCAACATCAATAAACTGGAGGATTCACAATTGGAGCAATTTCAAAGCCTCCTAGCCCTGAGTTGATAATTCACAAGCCAAAAGATGATGATCAATCAGCAACTGTAATGAATAAACTTATCCTATAACCAACTAATATGAAACCAGAGATTTTTGAAATTTCGCAGGTCGATGTAAAAGGTCGTATGATTAGTTAGAACCCTTCTAAATTATCTCTCTTGGATGAAAATTTAAGGCCAAGCACATAAAGTCTTGAATCATCATTAAAATCTTAGGAGGGAAGCACTGAAAATATAAAGACTTTAAAGGCTCATGATAGTGATTAAAATGCGTTTGTCAAGTCTATGAGGAGTAAGGATAGTGGTCCAACTAATAAGACTTTAAGATCAAGTGAAAATTTAGACTTCAAATCTATTCCAAATCTTGAAGAGTAAGACTTAGCATATTTACATTAGCATCTAGATATTGGAAGAAAAGATTGGAACAGAGATCAAGAGCTTCTGATGATGAAAAGATATATGAGGAGATTAAAAAGTAACTACCACAACATAAAAATAACAAGCATTCGCTTATTGAAAAACTTCTACTGTCAGCATATGGAAGATAAAACTCACTTACTAATGTTTATCAAAGTAATCTTATATTGGAGATCTTAATTTTAAATAGAGTTCCCTTTTCTAAAATCAATAAACCTAGATGAGATAGTAGGTAGGGATGTCACTATGAAGCCAAAATACTCAAAGAAAGTAGATACTCCTAAAGCAACAAGTAGAATTATTAGTGCTAGAAGAGGATCAGTTGGAGGAAATTCACAATGCCCTTCTGCAAGATCTCATGCAGGATAGAATGCTTTATAATTTCAAACTAAGCAGTCTAGAAGATTTTCAAACGGAAATTTGTAAATAGAATTACCAAGTCCAACCAAATCTAAGAAACAAAATAAAGCCTCATTATTTGGTAAGAATTCAGTGTAGAATCCTAAATCTATGATTATTGATTCCCAGCTTAGCTCTAGTTTCAAGGATTTCTCAAAAGATTCAGAAAAAGAAGTAAATATAGCGCAAAAAAGTTAAAATGCATTAATGAGAGCTATAACAAGAATTAATGAGGAAATCGAGCGTGATGAATAGGAAAAGAAATAAAAAAAAGAATCTCTTATAATAACTAATGAATCATAGACATTAAAATTGCAGCTTCCTGAGTCAACTTCATAATAAGAATCTAATAACCTGATTCCTCCACTTAAAACATCAAGAAAGATGGAATCAAATAGCCTACCAACTATTATTGTCCAAGAAAGACTTGATAGAATTAACCAATAAAGTAAAAGAGATAAATAATTGAGCATTTAGACAAAGTTTGAACCTAGTCCTCATAATGGCAATAATCTCTCACCGGTTCGGATCGCTAAGCATAATTATGATAAGGCATAAAATACTCTTCAACTTCCAGGTCAGCACTATGGATAATCCCCAAAACCAATTATTGGAAGTAAGAGGAATTTAGATAGTGATAATACTAATCAGATAATTAATAGATCTGAGGACCCATCATAATATGGAGCACAAGGCGAGGATATTGAAGGATATATAAAAAAGACTAGGACAGGTTCAGTCAGAGTTATAGCATAACGACCATCATTCATGATTATAAGACAAAATAGTCCTTAAAATATCAATACAGTGGGTAATAGATATTTGTAAAATCAGTTCATATCTCCAATTTCTCTATAAAGGATTTGCAGTGTTGATCCAAGATAACTCTAAAACTTTTAGCAATAGCAAGATCTTACAAACAAGGAGTCATCCACATAAAAATAAGCAAGTTTAAACCATTTGAATAGCTAGTTCGGAGCTAATTTATCTCCAATGGTGGCTAGACATAACTCAACTACAACGAATAAGAAATCTCTTTCAGAAGCAGTTTCATTTGTGTTTGAGCAGAAATTCTCTTTGAAAAACAAGGGCAAATAGCAAGAAAGAATTAACTAACTTTTAAAGGAAAATAATGATCTGCCACCACTTAAGAGCAAAATGACATTCACTGATGCAGTTATCAACCTAAACAAGACATAGACTAAAAATAAGGAATTGGATCCTGATGAGGAGGAAAAAGAAAGAGTATTGGAAATTCTTGACCAAGAAAATTTTCTTGATGAACAACTCCTAATGAACCAAAATGAAGACTTTAGGGTAAATTAATTAAGCGACAATTAATACTTTGGAGATCCTAATTCTTTCAAGGTATCAGACATCAGAGCTACTCTGGTAGAGGAAATCAAGAAGAAATTCTCTAAGAACCTCAACTATGAATATCAGAAAATGACATCCTAAGGTTCTATGGCCTATTATTAGAGCTCAGAAAATAATGCAGATAACTAATAGTATCATCCTAATGGATTAACTTATGATCAAATGGAAAAACTGTACTTAAAAACTTAATTTGAGCCATTTTGCAATGATCAACAGATAGAATTCTATGGAGATCCGGCTGTAGTTGGCTTAGTTCAGTTCAATGCAGATATGGGGCATATAGCTATGAATGTCTTTGAGACTTTCACTGTATTCGATCTGATAGGTAAAGGTAACCAGACTCTCAATGAAAGTCTTTAGCTAATTTAGTCATAAAACAGTATCATCATGTAGAGGTAAGATAATATGGATAGGAAGCTTGATGAAATCGAGTAGCAACTTCTTATGGTAAAGTAACTTAAAAATTTTAAGACTACACCGTAATTAGCTTAAATACCTTAAGAGATGAGATACTGATAATAAGTAATAAGATGATCTAAACTAAGATATAAGTAACTATGATTTAATGAGATTCCAATTATTATTTAATATTAATTTCATAATTTCACTCAAACCACATCAATTCCAACTAGAGGGGTTTTGGGGTTTTGGGGAGATCGGAAGAGCGTCGTG